ACCTGATGGACACACACTGCATCAAACACCTCACTGGACACCTGATGGACACACACTGCATCAAACACCTCACTGGGCACCTGATGGACACACACAATGAGTCAGACTCACTGTACACCTGATGGACACACAGTAGGTCAGACACTTACTGTTCACCTGATGGACACACACTGCATCAAACACCTCACTGGACACCTGATGGACACACACTGCATCAAACACCTCACACACTGGGTCAGATTCTTTCCTGGACACCTGATGAACACTCACACTGGGTCAGACACTCACTGGACATCATGTCACACCAAGTCAGACACTCTCCTGGACACCTGATGGACACACACTGGCTCAAACACGTGATGGACACCTGATGGGGACACACCAGGTCAGATACTCCCAAATGTAAATTGGGAAAACCAAGTATAATTCAGTGTAAATTCTACAACAGAGGTGAGAAATGAACACTCTCAGAGAAGAAAGCAGAGTTATATGACAAAATGTTTCCTCCAGATTTCAGAAAGCTACATCAGCAGCCTCATGGGAAGCTGTCTACAACCTCAAAGCTTTGCCAAAGGCCAGTTATGGGAGGTGTCCTGACATTCCTCATCAAGAAACCTTTTTATGGTCCCAAAAGCCCAATATTTACTGCGATGCTTGTGTTGTATTGGATCCCTTTAATTGATTTAAACAGAGGTGGATCATAAAACTGCCAGAATTTAGTTTTGTGAAATAGGGTCTTATGACCGACAGGCTAGTAAAGCACAGAGCCACTGACAGCTCACTGCAGGGCTCCTCTGTCATTCAGCTCAGACACCAAGAAAGACACCAAGCTACTTAGGCAGATAGATTGATATTTACACAGATACATCTTAAAAACAGATCCATTACTCAAAGCTCTGCTTTTCTGTAAAAAAAAGTATTTTTGTTCAGGGGGGGAAGAAAGATTACTCGACTTTCCTGCTTCATGATTCAAGAAATTCATGATTTATATGTGAAAATGTAATACACCCTTCCATATTTACACGCATTTCTCTAATCTAAATGTGACCCGTTCGCTGCCATTTTCTGAAAATTCAGTTTTACACTACACAAAATCCTGTTTCAGAAAATAACAGTGAAAAGTGATTCAAATGATTAACCTCTACATACAGTACACAGGTTATATTGCAAGTATTCTCCATGTCCTTAAGACACTTTATCGATCTACCTATTGAAGGTAGATCACTAACCATAATAGCACAGTCCTGTAGGTAATACAACTGCTGTGTACCTCTGTAGACTAAAATAGGAACAATTTCAAGAACAATGAAAACAATACCTGGACTATTCTGGAGCCTGTCTAATTGTCATATACTCCAATACAATCCACTCCTGAATGTAGTAGTTGTAGCAGCAGCAGCAATGACAGTAGTAGTAGTCAATAATCATATATAGTGTTTTTCTGGACACAACACTTAATAGCACTTAATAAAGAGGACTCCCCTCCACCTGTTCGGTTGTCCCCACCAGGATGACGCAACTGCAGTCATAGAGCACCAGTACACTCGCCACACACCAGCTATCAGTGGGGAGGAGAGCAGAGTGATGAAGCCAGTTCAGAGAGGGGGACTATTAGGAGACTCTGATTGGTCAGGGGTAAAATCCACTCCTGAATTTATGGTCGATCCCCAAGTCCTAAGATCTAAGATCTAAGAACATCACATCTTGTAGGAATTGCGTGGAAGTTGCTGTGTGCTGTTTTGGAGGGCTGGGGTTTTCAGCGTGCAACTTTATTTTCTGTGGGGTTTGAGCAATTCCCTGTTATGATATCAGAAGGCAGATGAACATCAAAATTCGCCAGTGAAGTGCTAATTTCCAAAAGTGACAGAATACAGAAGTGGATTTTGTACAGCGGTAGGGGCACATTTTCCTTGTTTTCACCCATACTTGTTACATCTCTTTTAAATGCACTATGATGCACTGCTACTGTACGACTGCAAGTAGAGCTGTTATTCACCAGAAATGGAAATGGAGCTTAGCCTGTTTCAGAGTGAAATGTGGTTTGGACCTTAATGACACCTCAGAGTGGGGAATGACTGAAGACGCAGCTGTCACTGCACAGAGCAGCAGCTTCAGAAATACTGTAGGCATGTTCACATGAATCTTCACTGTCTTAGGGCTGACACAGTCCACAGTGCTCTTATCCCTGCTTTTGCGTGACACTATTTTATTTTAAACGTGAATGTGAGAAACCTTGAATTCTTTACCATTTCTTATTTGTTTACATCTTCAGCAGTGCTGACTGAATTCTGCACTTCCTCCCATCTGCACTCTGTGGGAGCAATGTCAGAGGGGCATGAGAGAAGGCTACCTGCAAGGGTAGGGGTATCGCAGATGAGAGCTGGGACACGATTCCTTATATGGGTAGACATAAAATAAAAAAAAATAATCAGCTTCTGGCAGTGTGGACGCGTTTCGGACTCTTCAGAAATAAAATATTAAGCCGTTAATCACACACATAATTGGCAGCCCCAACCTAAACAAGCCATTCCTTGGCACAAACTTGTGGATTTAATAGAGGTCCTCCTCAGCCGCCAACTGTCTCTGCACTCTGGCTAAAAGCAGCAGTCATGTCCACCCCAGTCCACCAAACCTGCAGGCAACAGACAGGGCTGTCCCCCCAGATGGCTCTGAACTGTAGCTGCAGCAGTAGAGGTGCCGGGTTTAAAAATCAGCACATTAACAGGCAAACACAGGCAGGACGACTGTCTGGGGAGCCACAGAAAATAAAACTATCAGTCAGGAAGTTATAGTTGAGACCTAGTTTCCCTGCACGCTGCATAGTGGTCTTCGCTCTGGTGCTGCTGTCTGAGAGTTGGGCGAGTTATCATCGAACACTGCAGTGTTTTAATTCCAGTTAATCTACTTGTCTGACTCCCTTGCCCTAATCTGTTTCCCAGTGTAAGATAAGAGCAATTAAGCATATGCTAATTTGTTTCCACCCTCCTCAGTCATTTCTGGACTCAACTGAGGCTCCATTTGCTGCTGGATGAGTGACTCACATAATGGACAATATTAATATTTATTTATTCTTAGCTCTACACAGCGAAGTGAATGAGCCGGGTCAATAACGACGGGGCCACAGCACAGTCCTGTGTCGTTTCTGCAGGTAGAGAGCCACCTACAGATTCATTTCAGACATAGCATACTTAAAACTAACATTGGCAGGTCTGGCAGCGGCAGCACAACCGTAAAAAAAGGAGCGCTTTGTAAGACTTATGCTAAAAATAAGCACTTCAAAGGCGTGCTTATCGCTTTACTGCATTACCATAAAGACACGCGAGCGGGGCCTTCATGGCGGGCTGCCCTGTGCTCAGCTGCCTCTTCGCCGGTAAATTTCAAATGTTTTTTTTTTTATTGAATTCCACATTCAGCTCTGCGGGTCGTGTTTCGGAGGGGGGGTTATTTTTAATTACGGCTCAGATGCCAGCCTGTGAAAAATTGATTAAGGATGCTAATAAATAAAAGCAAAACAGAAAATTAAGCAATTACATAGCTCAAGCTGCAGTAATCAATCGAAGGGAACGGGCGTCGGTGTTAACTCTTTCCAACGCACGGTAACTTTGGCGCCGATGGCGTTTATCGGAAAAGAGCTGATGAAACCTCACCAATGACGTTTCCAATGCCATTTTAAAACACCCCGATTCCAGGCACACACTCAAAGCACGGAGCCTTATGCGCAACATTAGAAAGGAAGGCAGGATTGTAAAACTACTCCCACGAACGGCACGTTTCACACACGCCTAGGAGCGTAACACCGAGAATCTCAGACAGCCGGAGAACCACAAGACTCCACAGAAAAAAATACAATCGTTACGTTATTACCAACAAAGCTGGAACAGCTTTTCAAGTCACAGAACTGCCGCAAGGGAAGACAGGAAAAAAACGGAAATGCACCTTGGAATACGGAAATAACATTTAAGGCACATCGTCCTTCTATTTATCCCCAAACCTTCTTAGATATACCAGGGGTTTGCTTCTTTCCTGGTAACGCTGTAACGCTGGCTTTTGAAATGACATATTATACATACATGACAAACAATGAACATAAAAATTATTAACAGATCATTTGTATCACCTTAGAACTATCCGTGTTTTGTTATTAAAACGTTATCCCGTCTCCAGGAATCGGTAAATCCTCGGCACTTCAGTTAAAGCCAAGTGTTAAACTGTTACAGATTCTCTACAGGCTTTATGAATGGAATTTAAATCTCCTAACCTCCATTTTCATGTTTTTTTTTTTGTTTCTAAATAAAAACATTGTATCGCAGGAGTCAGGACCACTTAAAAATGCACCACCTCACTCCTGAAATTAAGCTGTTGTGAATGAGCTCAAACAAGAAAGGCTTTGATCTGTTTCCGACTAATCCACTCACATTGTGCTTCATGCTGCGGTATTTATACATGACATGTTTCCCCGTTTGTTTCAGCTGAAACAGAATATGAAACTCACACTGCTGATGGTAGGAGTGACTGACTCGTGCCCTGAGATGAAAACACAGACTCTGTTCATAGATCGGTTCAGGAAATTGGTACAAACATTTCTACAGGCAATTCAAAGCACCCAGCAGCGTGCAGCCTATCCAGGACATTGTGAGAGGGTAGCAGCAGCCAGTGCGACCAGAATGCACCCCGTCATGGAGTGCATCTTAAACACTTCCTCCCAGACGAAAACACAGAGCTGTCAGAGAAAATACAAAATTGCACAAGGGACAAGTGACTCCGGGAGGAAATGCAGAGGAAAGCAGCTCTTAAATGCTAACATATACTGTACATCCGCCAATTACAGCAGCAATGTAGATGGGTGAGTCATGCTGGGAGCTGCCTGATGGTCCAACCACTAACATTAAAAGTCGGTGTAGAGCAAAATGGTGCAAAGTCAACAAAGTCATTGGTGGACTGAAAAATGTTGCAAAGACTGTTGATTTTGGTGCCAGACATTGTTCTGGGCGTTAGTGGGACCAGCGGGGGGCGCCCACACTGCAGTCTGTGTGAGTATTAATGCCCCAGTATAGTGACGGGGACACTATACTGTAAAACAGGCGCCGTCCTTTGGATGAGACGTTAATCCGAGGTCCTGACTCTCAGAGGTCATTAAAGATCCCCGGGGCATTTCTTGATAAAGAGTAGGGAATTATCCCGGTGTCCAGGCCAAATTTCTCCCCTAAGCCTTTACTGTGGCCTCCAAATTGTCCCCATGTTTGATTGGCTTGCACTTGCCCTACGAAGGACTGGCGTCCTGTCCAGGGTGTACCCTGCCATGCCCTCGTTGCTTGCTGGGTAGGCTCCGGCTTCACAGCGACACCGTATGATATAAAGCAGTTTGACAAATGACATGACATAGCTTGTGCAGGACTGCAGAGAAGAGCATGGTGGCAAGTCACATGTCCACACTGATGTGAGGATGAGCCTTCAACAGTCAACCCAACCAGCGCAGTCCCAGCTACCACTCTGTTAAAAAGCCTCTGTGAAATAAGTGGAATATAGTTCTGCGGTGCTTGAAAATACAGTAAATCACCATTTGGAGACTTGTTCGTTTTGAACGGTGCTCACTGATTTGTGGAACCTGTGCGGTTAGAACTGTATCTCTTTGAACGATGTACACGTTGCTGTAATCATGTCTATTTCCGAGGTGAGGAAAGCCTGGCACGCTGTCAGGAAGCGCCGTGCCGCTCACACCGCAGGCTAGAGGAGCGCACGCTTGCTGTGCCTTCCAGAGCGCTGGTGCTGCAGCGTCCCCAGCTTACAGCTGCTTACAGTTCGGATAAACGGCTGTTCTTCACAAGCGGGTTTAAAAGGGGATGAAGGTAAAATTTGGAAAAAGGAATAAGAGAGATAAGGAGGTTGGAGTCCTGGGGCGCTGGGCACAGAGCCTCACCGTGGCAGACTTGACGCAGGTACGGGGTGGGTGGAATCTAATAGACGCTGTGGAAGAGACACGGGGTCGTTTAATATCACCTTGCAGGAACCCTTTGAACTGAGCCAGCAGCTCGGTCACTTTCAGCTCCCGGCAGCTGGAGTCGGGAGGGAGGGGGCTGTTTTTCTCAGGCAGCGCGGGAGCGAACGGGCTAAGGGGGGAAAGCGCGGTAATTGAACCGATGCGACATGACGAGCGGCACGGCACCGCCGGGCCTGCATCGGTTGCCACGGCGACGGGGCGCTCGTTTCCTGTGGCGAGAGCGCGCGCGTGCGCGCGGGCGCAGACACACAGAGCCTCTCCGGGCTCCTTCTGCGCCTCCCGAGCAGGTTCCTTCAACCTCCACCTCCTCCTCCTCCTCCTCCTCCCCCTTCCTGGTGCCCAGAGAGCTGTCGTGTCACAACCCCTGCCCTGGGCCTATTGCCCTCTCATCTCACAGCCCCCCCCCCCCTCGGGAAGATTTACCGTGTAGTTATACACATAAACACCACGGTCGGTGTTGAAGAATCAGACTTCTCATGAACGGGCAGTTTCTTTTCCTCCCTCATTATAATAACCACAAAGATGATTTGATTTGACAAGGCCTCTTCTGGGGCTGTCCTTCCATGGGAGACTGGGCAGGCTCAGGGGAAAGATTAACAATGTGACACCAGCTGAGGAGCTGGCACCTCACCAGCCCGGATGCCGCGTGTGTGAGACGGAGGTGGGCTTTTTGTGCTGCACACCCCAACACACAGCGCCACGGTCCACCTGTAACTATCTCACACACCCCTGAGGAAGCCCGTGGCTACGGCTCTTTGACAGATACCTTGAGCTGGGATTAAACATGACTGGGATATTTATTGAGCTGGGAAAGGGCAGGGGCTTTGGTTTACCACACATCCCCTGCATTTTGAACCTGTCCTTGAGCTTTCTAGCTGCCTGAAAAAGAGAAAAGCCTAGTCAACAGCCACCGATACATTCCCAGCTGGTCCACACGGCAAAACTGACCCGAGTCACAAATAACACGTGTGAAGGGAGCCACAGGACCTACAGTGAGATGCACAGCCAGGCCCCTCAGCCCATCAGAGCTCGCCATTTTCCTAAACGCCTGTCCCAGCATCAAGCTGCGTTTTGACAGATCCCATCAGCCCTCGAATCCTGATCCAGTCCTTTCCTCAATCTACAGAATCGTCAGCACCCATTAGGAACTGCTAATTGTTATTTACACTACTTTCCGAGAATCAGTGTTAGAGTCACTACTATCCCAGAATCAGTGTTAGAATCACTACCATCCCAGAATCAGTGTTAGGAGACCTGCAGGCTGATGGCAATGTCAGTGAGTGACACACTGCTCCTGAAGGGGGCGCTCTCGCTGTCGATAGGCGTGACAGCGCGTCAGTCCACACTTGGCTCTGCGCACGGAGGAGGAAATTGCCCGCATGCCCCGCCCTCTCCGGCCCAGGTGCGAGAGTCGCCAACGGGAATCCACTGCGATTCCAGAAACGGTCCAGAATCGTTCAATCGTTCATCCATTATCTATTCTCCAATACAGGGTCGCGGGGTAAATTGGGTAGATAGTCAAGAAATAATAATGGGCAATTTCACAGTGGAAAACAATCCGTTAAATCTCAAAACCATGAGCCCCAGTCGCAAGGGATAGCAAGACAACAGCAGTCAGATCCAGAACGGAGACTGACATACGTACACCTCAAGTGCTGTGATGATATATCCTGATTTGAAGGGACCCACAGATCCAGGAGGTGTGTTAGGTTAACAGACCACATGTTTTTCAGTTTTACTATGCTTCCACTGTCCTTTATTACACTCTACTCTACTTTATTATTTGATGCTCTATTACCTTTTTATGAGGAGGGCATCACACGCCTTTTCACAGTCTTTTGATTTTCTTAATGTTACTATTCTACTGTATCTGATAGAAAGTGACAGTCAGCATTTTATACATTTTAAATCTATTCATCAGTGTCAGAGCCCGTGTATGTTAATCCATCTCCTGGTTTCCATTTGTTATTGTCAATGTGTGTTACAGGGATCTGGAACGAGCTATCCAGCCACGATCGTGAGGCCAGCAGACGTTTTAAAGAAAAGCTGGATCACATCCTCAGATAAATTAATTGGGCCAAAGGGCCTGCTCTTGTTTGGATCTTTTCCTACGTTCATTTGGAAGCAAATATCCATATGAGGACAAGTCAACGGAACAACGAGAGATACTCATCGTTCCCTTCAGTTCCAGTTCCTATTTTCCCCACACAGTAAAGGAAGCTTTTTTATTCTCCAGATCTCAAATCTTTTTTTTTAAAGAGACATCAATTCTTGAAGAGGGTTTTTAATTAAAGATGATATATTTGGCTGCCGTTCAAGCTCCTTTGCTAAAACTGTGCTGGTCCCCCATCCAGCTCAAACAAGACAAACAAAACGCTCCTCTAATTGAAATGTCTCTGTGTGTGCGCAGCGATGTGCCAGAAATAGATTGAGATCAGCCCACCTCTCCTCCCGCCGACAGAGCCCCTTCATAAACAGCCTTTTGAAGGCACTGGCTTTCCCACACCTGAACGCAGCCACCGAGTTAAGAGACCCCGCACGAAGGCAAAAGTCGGCCTTGCTTCTAACACTCTTGACGATCGGGTTCCAGCTAGTTTCCACATTGGCCCGAGAAGAAGAATGCAAGGGAAAAAATAGGAAAATTCTTATATCTGTTTTCTTATATCAAAATGACATTAAATTACATACTGATACTAGTAATCAGTTTGTTTTAAAGACCCAGGGAAAAGTCCCAATAGGGTGTATTTCAAACATATGCATGCTGCTGAAACAGAATGACGTACAGTACAGTTAAATGAGATGCTCGGGTGCGCTGAATAGCTTGTTATTAACTTAATGTTCTTTTGCTCTTTGTCATGTTACAGGCATCTTATATCAGAAATATGTGTTCATCAGCAATTAAGGTTTTATGGCTCTGCTTCATATGAGCGTAGGACACTGCTGGTCAATGAACAACACACAATGAACGTCTGCCTTTTCACCACTGCGTTTTGCTGAGCGTTTTACAGGTGACATCATCCCCATGCTTCCTGGATAGCACTTAATTTAGCCAGGATGACCTCACTGAGTGTAGCAAATGTTTCTGACGTGACAAAGTGGCACAACAACGGATACTGGTATTTTAATAAATTAACAAGTAATAGGTTTATTCCATGCCGAAAAGAGAGGAAAGAAAACAAAACGTTTTGGCTGTGGAGCCTTCTTTGGGTGTAAGTAATAATATTATTACACTACACTACAATAATTACACTACAATAATAATACATTAATTTATTGAATGTTTAATTTAATTTAATAAATTAAACATAGCTGTTGTCGTGGTTGCATAGCCTCTATGATTTCAAGTGATCGAATAAAATATTGTAAAGACAGCAAAATTATATCATGTGGGGAGCTGTGTCAGCATGCGTAGGCTGCAAAGGAACAAGAAACAGGTTTATTCCATGCTGCAAAAAAAGAAGAAAGAAAACACAACGTTTCGGCCGTGGAGCCTTCTTCAGGTGTCAAGATGGTGTCTTCAGGTGACACCCGAAGAAGGCTCCACGGCTGAAACATTGTGTTCTCTTTCTTCTTTTTTTCAGCATGGAATAAACCTATTACTTGTTCCTTTGCAAAATTCTACCATTGCTAGCTGGAATGCGGTGCTTTCTTGGAATTGTCCCCAAGTCATACTGGAATGTGATTTTCCATTAGCAAATATCTGACCTCTGCATGAGTAAAGCCTCAACTTTTAAAACGCATTCCAAAACACTTCCAAAATGTCCACCCTCCAAAAGAAAAACGTGCAGGATATGCCCCATTGTCAGCTCCTGCAAGAATTTCCAGCTTGGACGCCGCTCCATGTCAGTTAGTGCAAACCCACCTTGAGACTTTGGGAACTCAAGTTCCAGGGCAGCTTGTCTATCCAGAGAAAGTGCGATCCAGACCACTACAAGAACATTCACCTTCACCAATATCAGCTTGCCCTGGCTCCTGCTCCCAATCTGATTTTAAAGACCGAGGAGTTCGTGATCATCAGCACTGAAAACGAGCCCAACAGACAGGAAAAACACTACCACAGATTGTCCGCCAGAGGTGCAGCCTGCTGAATTTGATCACAGCCAGCCACTGCACACCTGGAATGCACAAGCTCTTACAGAAGGAGAGGCGATGGAGTATGTCATCCAGAAGCGTCATGCCCACAGTACTTCAGACACAATCTCTAGAACAAACAGCAGCAGACTGCAAAAACCAACAGACCTACAAAGAGACACTCGTCTGAAAAAAACACATCTCAGCCCCGTCACAGCTCTGTCAGAACCAAGTTGCAAGGAGATTTCCCTGTGAAGCTAGCTGGCATAAACGGAAGGATGTCAGGCAGCCTGAGACTACCATATTTAGATCAGAGCAGCCTGGTTTTGTTACAGCGCAAAGCGGAAAAGTGACTGGGCACCAGACTACTGGGAATCAGACGGGAGTATGGGATCTCATTGCCCAGCAGGTATGAGAAGAACAAGACGTCAGCCGCCCTGTTCTCGCTAGTGCTGAGCTGCCAGATTCTGTGCCAGAGGATTTCACAGCCTTCTGTCAAGCCTTTGGGATGCGCAGGAAGGAAGCCAAAAAAAAAAGAGTAAAAGCCGTTCCCACGCACAGTAGATTCTGAGTGGCCCGACGGTTCTGAAAATCAGCTGGCTAACAGGCGGTTCCCAGTCCAAGCCCCAGTTTTGCCACTGACATACAATGCCTCATCCTAAACCAGTTCCCACACCTCCTTACACCCTGTCCGTCAGCGGTCGTGGTTAAATAGCCCCCCCCACCCCGAGTATCTAGAAATCGCTTCGGATAATGGCACCCATTCAGAAATGAATCGCGTAAATGAGCACGTGCACTCGTCAATGACAGGAGGTGAAGTCCCCGTGCGTACGTCTTCAATGACAGCGCTCGCTGCAGCACGTGGTCGAGCAGGGAGAGAAGTCTCCGCAGCACTCCAGTCACCAGGCTGAAGCCCGAGAAAACCGCTCTCCAAGGCTCTGCAGGCAATGTCCAACGTATTTGCATAGGGTCTCCTTAAAAACACAGTTTACATGGGGTACCTACTGCTTTACATCTTAAAAGCGAGCCAGGGACATGATTTGTCCTTTGGCATCTCCTGCAGGTCACCTTACATTTACTTACAGAGTTCCAGAGCATAACGAAAAAGGTAATGGGCACCCACCTCATGGGTCTACAATGGACCAGTAAACCAAACGCACTTTGGGGGACAATCTGTCCGTCTTTTGTAAAAGAAAATAAGAAAGGAAAGCACAGTGAAGGGAAAACGCGCTAGTCTTCACCGCGAGCACTGAGTGGGAAAAGACACAGACCATTAGGGACAAACACTGTCATAACTGTGTCTTGGTGTGGAGACCTCGCTGAATTTCACCCCAGGCGCTCAGGCGATCCGTCAACCTCAGACCACCAAGATCGCATTTGGCCCAAAGCCTGATGATTTTAGCACATTAGCTAAATGGCTGAATAAAATTGGCGATTAGCACACGACTCAATTTTGCTTTTGTAAAATAAAAGGCCGCAGAGCAGGGCGGCTACAGTACATTAAAAGCTCAATCCGCTCTCCTGATATACATGTTCTCAAACGTATAACAGACCACATCTCTGAAGCAGCAGACCCACAGCTATGGAGGACCTAACCCTACAGCGTGACCTTCATTGAAAATCAAAACGCTTATCTTTCAGTTTGTATTTTTAAGGCTATGTACTAATTACTTCTTATTTTAGACCTGTTTTTCCACTGGGCTGCTTGTGATGCTCCGCACTGTATTGGAAATGCTCGTCAGTCAAGACTGACACCACACACAGCACTTCCTAGCATCCGTAGTATTTTGCCTCATCACACATTTTACCTAAACAGCAGAGAGCTTGGAGGTGGAGGACAGTTCCTGCTGTTTCCTTTCAAACCACATCTCATTCAAACATTTGAAACCATTCGGACCCGGGCAAGAGATTCGGTCCCAGTTTGATAAGGCTTCGCCTTTCTGTGTAGCTCCCAGTACTAACTACAAAATAACTTCTGAAGAATTAGTATGCCCCCAAAGTCTCCTACCCCCTTTAAATCTCTATCAACAGTACTTGGATCCAAAAATTCACTAACATTTATCACAGTGGAGGGAAGGCGATGTCTAGCTGTCAATCTGTTTATCTCTCTGTGCAGTCCTGTTACTGCGCAACACGAGCTGAACGGATCTGACAGCCAACGGTGGATTCCAAGGCAAAAATAAGGCACAAGCGATGGTGAGAAAGATCACACAGTCCCACGAGTGATCCTGAGCCGATCATCTTCAAACGCACAGAAATAGTTCGGTTATTTAAAAAAAAAAGAGCCTAAAGGCAGTATGAATGCAAAAGAAAAAAAAAACACTGGGCAATTACTACACTGAACGTTACTCTGAGACAAGCAATCCTCATCTCTCTCTCTCAGCTCCAGGGCAGAAGGAAATAAATCCCTCTTAACAGTTGGGGGTGGCTGGGAGTTGTGGTGGTCTATTCCTAGTCCCGTGATCAACTCCCTGGCATCCTGTGGCCTCAACCCCTTCACTCATCTTTGCTCCTAACCCCTGTGACTTTCTTTCCAGATTGAGGCAACCCAACCCAACTAATGCCCGGACAGAGAGCCGGATGGAGATACCGGTTTCTCCGGGATCTTCATTAGGGATGAGGCGGGGAGGAATTCTGCCTTAAGGAGCACGGAGATTGCAGGCACAGCCACAACCCAAACCCAGCACGCCATCAAGAGTTATTTGTACACAACGGTCCAGGTCACAAAACATGGAAGAGCAGGGCCGAGTAGCCCCAGGAGGTGAAAAGTCATCCTGACGTCCCAGCCAGCTAGCAGGCACAAACAGAGCAGCCAGCCACCAGGAACAGGAGAACGCAGAGCACAAGGTCAGCGTCCTTCAAGATTAACAACAAACACAGGAGGAAGCCTGAAAAATCCCCAAAACACACATCCAAGTCCAAAATCCAGAAAGCACGTTCTGTGACAGCCCATTTCTTTACAGGTAAAGCCAGTGACTTTGTCCAAGTCCTAGTTCTGTTCCCAACTTTGGCTTGTTTACGTGCTGTTCATCCAGCACTCTCCTCTCCTCATGTCCAACCCCCCCTTCCCGGACCACCACGACAGCCCCTACCCCTTCCCTGAGTCCCAGATCCACTCGGGAAAACCGAACGAGAGGACCTCGCTGCCTGTAACCATAGAAACT